ACATAAATTTTAGATAAAAATTATAATTCTCACGAAAACATCATTCTTGGTGTTGAACTATTAATTGACGGGTTCAAAATACCTTATTTTTAAAAATTACCCTTTTAATCTTTGATTTCTTCCAACTTTCTACTTTGACCACAGATAATGATAATTTTTTATACCAAAATCTCGAGTATTTCATAAGCTAACAATTGATAGAGTTTAAACATTGTTTATTCAAGTTTAGGATTTATATTTGACAACTTAAAATTAATATGTCTTCTAAAGAGTGCTTCTTACTAATGTGACATGTCTTTATCTTACTTGACATAAAAGGATGCCAATATGAGAAATAATCTCAAACATGTATTATTTTAGATTTTGAGGTGATATTTGGATAAAAAATTAAATTGGAGATTTTTCAATTGCATCCTAAATCATCATGTTATATTAATTTTTAGGACTGTCCATTGTTCTATTTCAATCAAATCATTTGACTGAATCAAAAGTTAGTTCGGTTAATCAGTTAGGTAATTAGATGTTAGATCGATAATAATTAAAATCTTTTTAAAGTCCGATTATTAGTTAATTTAGTTCAAAATTGTTTAATTAATCGAATTAACCTAAAATAATATTTATATATTAAGCTCAAACCAATTAACAATCAAAACCTAACAATCTCTTAATCAAAGAAGACCCATTAAACTTTTAAGATCCTATCAAAATTTAACCAAGATGAAAAAAATTCATTTATTAAACTCAAATTAGTCAAGCTAAAAATATACAATAAATTCTAATTAATTCAAAAAAAATGATTGAATTAACTGAATTTTATTTTGTTCAATTTAAAAAAAATTAATTTAATTAGAAAATAAATAAATAAAATTCAATTAATTTAATTTTAACTAATTCAATACCAAGTTAGCTATTTGAAAATTGGGTAAACTGCGTGTTTAGTACCTAAACCATTAGTTTTGGTTCATTTTAATACTTAACCTTTCATTTTTTTAAATCACACCTTGCGTTTAGTTTTTATTTTATTTTAGTACCCCTACCGTTAAAAACTTAACGGACGAACTGACGTGATATAGTTCTGGTGGACGAGCGGCCAATCTGAACGGTGGATTAAGAGAGAATGACGAGTCAACCAATATAGTCCAATTTTAGGCCCATCGTACGGTGAACCATGAAGATCATATGATAAAAAATTTGAACAGTCAATCTGTAACACCCCCAACCCGTATCCGATCCGGATACGAGTCCGAAGTGTCACATTGAATTTTCAAACATTTATTCGTATAAAATAGTGAGTAATTTAAAAACTTTGATAACATTTAACTTATTCAAAACATTTACAAAATATATATCAGAGTTCATACAATTTATATATTTAGACTACATGCCAACTACACTCTATATACAGTACATATATTTTCTGATCTGACATTTGGTAAGGAGAACTGACATGTCTTGCTCCGCATTACTCTTTACTCTTCTCGAAACCTACGTGTGAAACAATCACACGCTAAGTCGAAGACTTAGTGAGGCATAAAGAAAACACATCTAATGGAATTCATACCCACTAATCATGCATGACTGTTTTATGCTATCAAATTATACAACTCATTTACATATACATCAACATATATTCATGCATATTATGTAACAGATACCATAACCCCTATCACACATATATCATATCATGCACACATCATATCACAAATCATATACATATATCACATACATTGTTCTCATATCACCAAGACATATATGCACTTCTACCATGTCACGAAAAATACACATATCATTATATCAAATTATGTTCTCTTTTTAAAACCCATGTACACATGTGAGAACTATAGATATGTGAGTCTATAGAGGTTGTGCACTATGCTGTCACCACAGCTCGTATAATTGCACCGAAGTGCCACGTAGAATTGCACCGGAGTGCCGCGTAGAATTGCACCGGAGTGCCGCGTAGAATTGCACCGGAGTGCCATATAATAATGTCCATAAGGACTACATATCATTCCTTAAGAATCATATATATATACTAGGGATCAAGTATGTGTCTCACCAGACTTCACACATGTTCCAAAGAATACATATATGTCCCGAAGGACCGCGTAGACCCTCAACTCTTGGCATGCCAACTATACCCCTAACTCTCAAGACATATAACATGGGCATTTTCTTTTATACTTATCATTTCACATAACACATAGTTCAATTACTCATAGAACATTTTCATATGAGTCACATTTACATGTCACATAGCTTATATACTTTCTCACGTAGTTACATAGATCCATATCATATAACATATATCACAAAGTGCACATAATCACATATATCATATCATATAGCTTAGATCATTTCTCAGATATTCATATAAACATACATATCATATCTTGTTCATATATGATCATATATGCTTCATATAACACATAGAAACACCTAGAACACTTTCTCATAGCTTATATCAATTTTCAGAGTCCTTTCATATTACCTGATGACATATATCATATAGATATATAATAACGGATATCATATTATCTACCTTATGCTCTATTTCTTTGTATTTCCTTAGATTATAAATTATGCCGTATTTATAAACATATATCATTTAATAGTATTTTTATTTAGGTACTAATTTAATCTCTTTACTTAATTCAATTTCATATATTCATTATAATCTTTTCATATAGCTCCATTATACTAATTCTCATAATAAATCATACCACTAGGTGCTTGTCCAACTCATGTTTCCATTATGCATATACTGTTACCCATGTTTACCTAGTTCATATCACTTCTTATAAACTCACTTTCATCATATTTTCCTATTATTACATATTTTATCTCATAACCATGTATCCACATAGTCTTATATTTCATTATCATATTACATATATTTGTTCTCCTATGACCCTTAATAAACATCTATTTCTATTTCCCTACATCTCTCGACTTATCTTCTATATTCCTATAATTTCATAACTTATTTTATATCATTTTCTCTTTTTATTCACATAAACCATCTATTTATTTAGTTCAATTTCTCATGACTTCCACAATACTCTTTAATAACACTTTGTAGCTCTTCACTTTAATACATAAACCATAGTTTCCTTTAATTTATCAATCTTCTCTATATAACTTATGTATCCTTATTTATGCCCTCGAATTCATACTATTCTCTTAGAGTCTCCTAACATTTCTCGTATAATCACTTATACCATATAATATGACTTATACTTGATTATCTTATTCTCTCATGTTCATTTCATTTCTTATGACTCTATCATATAACTTATTCCATGTTCTTCCATTATTACATAATAAAGTCTTACATAAATCATATAGCATATACAAATCATATCATTATCTTTAGTCATGCATACATACAATCAATGTAATACATATAATCACATATAGTTATAACCAACACATAATCATGTCTATGACTTCATGCATATTACTCTAGAAAATAGACTCATCGCAAGTCTTATTTCCATTAAACACTACATGTCACTAGTATGCACTCACCTTGGCCTCACTAGTCAATTTCAATCTCTTATCTTTCCCTTGATCGATCTTACTTGCCAAATGTTCCGGAATTGCTTTACGCGCAGAATCTACATAAATGTACATTTTGAGGCAATCATTAGATACCTACACCTTGTAATTGGATACTAGCAACTTAAACGAACTTATTAAACCAATATTCACATTTTTCCTTTAGGGGGAATCGGTTCCCTACTAAGGGGGTATCGATTCCCTCATGACATTCTGGAAATTTTTGTTCGTTTGAAGGGGTATCGGTTCCCCTTGAATGGGTACCGATTCCCCTTGCCCAGAAATCATATTTTTAACTCAAAAATTACTTCATTTCCTCTCAAACACTTCATATATCATCCCCTTTTCATTCTTAACTCTAGTACACATACTTAAACCAATCTATATTCATTTATTTCATCTTAAACCTCAAAATCCTATCTTCCATATGAGATTCAAGAATCATACCAAATTTTCATTGTGTTCTAATTCCAATTCTAACACTTCATACTTCTTAATTAGATTGATGACAAGTCAAATTCATCCATAAAACTTCAACAACCATACCATATCAAAATTTCATCTTAAAACTCATATTGCAAATTCCTTCATAATTCCTTTATCTTATTGTTTAAATCCCATATAAGCTTTCCTTAAGCTTATTTAATACCCAAATAATCAAAACTAAGCTTAAAACTCAAGAATTAACCAACTGAAATTAAACTTACCTTTGCCATGGAGCATACGGGAAGAGAGGAGGAAGGAAATGACTCAGCTCCAGAACTTTCTTTTCTTCTCACCCTTCCCACGTTTATATCACCTTTAAAAGAAAGATAAAAATCTTTCTGGTCAAATGACCATTTAACCCTTAATTTCCTTTAATAATTACTAATTAACCTTCATCATATATATCCAATAATCATTGAACTATTTCATTCTTATACTTTAGTCACCAAATTCTGAAACTTTACAATTTGGTCACTAACCCGGTATTGCAGATGTTACACAATCGTTGATTTGGGAAGAATAAGGCGTTTTCCGGTGAAACGAAGCCCGAAATAGCTTTCAAGTGGTCTAAAAAGGTGCGTGTTGGACAGTATGAGCTTCATCGGTCGATAGATGCAATAGTCGATAACTGTAGACGCAACATTCTACGAACCCGTCCGTTAAGTTTATAATGATGGGGTACTAAAATAAAATAAAATAAAAACTAAACATTAGATATGATTTTAAAGAAAATAAAATTTTAGATATTAAAACGGACTAAAAGTGATAGTTTAATACTAAACGGTTGTTTACCCTATAAAGTTTTAGGTTGGATGAATCAATTCGCTCGCGTTGGGCCTTCAGGCGCTGGCGGGTGGGACAGGGCTGCTTCTTCGAATCCATGAAAGTGACAAATCAATATCCTATGACAAAACGCAACGTCCATTGCCACTGATTCCCTTAAAACCAAAAACCCTAGTGTAACTGCCGTTGTTTCTACGCCTAAAGATGGCTCAACTCAAGGCTATTTCACCAGCTTCGTCCGTTAATCTCGCTTCTTACGGCCCCAAAAGAAGTAATTCTACTTTGCATTCCAAGCTTTTATGTCTTCTTCGCTTCATTTTCGTTAAAAGTTCAGTATTTTGCAGATACATTGTCCAGCCCTGATAATTTGATCTGCTCCAGGAAGTTTTCGTCTCTCCGAGAGGTAATATCAAAATCCTGCCCCCTTTCTGGGTTCTTCCAATTGTTTGTGGTTTTCTCTTACAATCCGCTGTTCGAAATGTGCTTTGTTAAATTTCATTGACAGTTAAGTGGAAAATCTAGTTCACTTCATGGTCATGCTATTGCAAGCAACAATGGTTCCATCTCTATAACACCTAAGAAACAAGGTGAGGGTTAACGTTGCTCGATTATTCGGTCTTTTTTGTACCATAGGGATGACCCCCTTCTCTTCTTTTGGATTTTGCATGTTGCTTTTGCTTGTTCTGTTTGTTCTACCTGCGAGAAACTTCAGAAGAATTTCTTTTATATTGCGTTTTGTATTCGGCCTCTGTTGTTGATCTTTCGTCTGGCATATCTTCTTAGATGTTTTCACTATTGTATTTTAGTTCCAAATTGTCTCGGTTCTATATGCATTTTATGTTGTTTTTGCTTGTTCTGTTTGTCATAGCTGCGGGAAACTTTAGTAGAATTTCTTCTATTTTGCTTTCTGTATTCGGCCTTCATTGTTGGAATTTGGATATTTCATCTTGCATATCTTCTGAGATACTTTCACTGTTGAAATTTAGTTCGTTTCGGTTTCATATGCATCATTTGTTGTTTTTGCTTGTTCTGTTTGTCCTACCTGCGGGGAACTTTAGTATAATTTATTCTATTTTGATGTCTGTATTCGGCCTCTGTTGTTGGATATTTCATCTTGCATATCTTCTGAGATATTTTTCACTATTGCATTTTAGTTCCAAGTTGTTTCGGTTACATATGCATTTTTCCTTGTAAATTTGCAGGGATTCGAGCTGTTTTGTCAAGCGACACAGGGACAGAATCTTCCAAAGCTACAAAGGGTGGAGGACTGCGAGGCAAGTTAAACAAAGTTGTTTTAGCCTACAGTGGTGGCTTAGACACTTCTGTTATTGTTCCATGGCTGAGGTAGTTTTACTGTTTTATCTTATAGATACTAATACTATCCATTTTCTTGGTCAAAAGAGTTACCACTGTTCTATCATTATTCTCGAAGCACAAGTTTTATGATTAGTTTTTCTCGATCATTGAGACATGCTTATGAAACCTCTGATTTCAGCATTTTTCTTTTGCAGGGAGAATTATGGTTGTGAGGTTGTTTGCTTCACCGCCGATGTTGGCCAAGTAAGTGGGAGTAACAGGTTTGCTAAGCAGTTTGATTCACTCTAGGTTCTTTTATTATGCGGTTTATGTTTATAATGCCATCTTATTACATTCATAATTTATATGCCATTTCAAAATTTTGCAGGGAATAAAGGAGTTGGATGGTCTGGAAGAAAAGGCCAAGGCAAGTGGTGCTTGCAAGTTAGTAGTTAAGGACTTAAAGGAGGAATTTGTGAGAGACTATATATTTCCTTGTTTGCGAGCTGGTGCCGTTTACGAAAGGAAATACTTGTTGGGGACCTCAATGGCCCGGCCGGTTATTGCGAAGGTTACTATCTGTTTCGGTATTTATACATTCATTCAAGCATAACACTTGAAGCTCTTATTAGAATATTCATAACATGCTACCTGTGAACTGCGACTTGTACTTCATTTGCCGGGATCCTATTTTACTTTTACTTCGAATGTGATTAAGGTTTGTTAATTGAGGAAATCAAATAGGTGTTAGCAAATCCAACCTCTTCCATGACAAGATTATTGTGATATAGTGATAGATAATGCATGATCCCCAGTTAATAACAGAGTGTTGTGTTCTTCTGCAATATCTTTAATTTTAACTGCATTTTCTTTTTATGACAGGCCATGGTGGATGTTGCAAAAGAGGTCGGTGCTGATGCTGTTTCTCATGGATGCACAGGGAAAGGAAATGATCAGGCATGCCTTTCAACCAAACCTTTGTTGTGATTAATTGTTTGTGTTTCTTTAGAAAAAGATATTTACCAATATATTATTCGTCCAGGTTCGGTTTGAGCTTACATTCTTTGCTCTAAATCCCGAATTAAACGTTGTGGCTCCTTGGAGAGAATGGGACATTACAGGGAGAGAAGATGCTATTGAATATGCTAAGAAGCATAATGTGCCTGTTCCGGTGACAAAGAAATCGATATACAGCAGAGACAGGAACTTATGGCACTTAAGCCACGAGGTTCGGTAACTAAGCCTTATTTGTCTGTTTCTTGTTGGCGCTTCAGTCTTTCTATAAGCTCCTTTGCTAGACCTAACACGATTCTGTTTGTTTCTCGTCGATATTAATCAATCTTGGCATTGAAGGGAGATATCTTGGAGGATCCAGCAAATGAACCTAAGAAAGATATGTACATGATGAGTGTTGACCCGGAAGATGCTCCTAATCAACCTGAGTATGTTTTACCTGCTGCTTCTCATTGATTTTTCATGTGTTGCGTGTCAATTTAACAGCTCTTCACACGCACAATGTCTACAGATACGTGGAAATCGGAATTGATTCAGGCATCCCTGTTTCACTTAATGGAAAGACTCTTTCGCCGGCTTCTCTTCTCGCTGAGCTCAATGAAATCGGCTGCAGACATGGGATCGGTCGTATCGATCTGGTTGAAAACCGGCTTGTTGGTATGAAGAGTCGCGGAGTCTACGAAACTCCCGGCGGTACCATCCTATTCAACGCCGTGCGTGAACTGGAGACTCTAACCCTCGATCGCGAAACCATTCAAGTTAAAGACTCACTTGCCCTCAAGTACGCCGAGCTAGTTTATGCAGGAAGGTGGTTCGACCCCCTCCGTGAGTCCATGGATGCGTTTATGGAGAAGATCACTGGAACCACCACCGGTTCCGTTACTTTGAAACTATACAAAGGATCGGTTTGCGTAACTGGCCGGACCAGTCCCTATAGCTTGTACCGGGAGGATATCTCCTCCTTCGAGAGCGGGGACATATATGATCAAGCCGACGCAGCCGGGTTTATTCGCCTCTATGGTCTTCCGATGAGGGTCAGGGCAATGCTTAAGAAGGGTATCTAAGTGCTTTCTTTTTTGTACCAGTGTGTGGAATTTCAGGGCTTAACTTAATAGTGGTGTATTGTCAATGTATCAAGTTTTGACACATCATTTGAATTTCAGTTATCGGTTTTAGATTAATATGGGAGCTTAAGAGCAAAATCACTTTTATTTCTATATTTCTAAAATTCAAAAATATTTATAACTTGGTCCCTAAACTTTTAGATCTTCCAATTTTATCTCCAAATTCATCCAAACATTTAATCCGTTTCAACCATTTTTTAACCTAAATTTTAATTTTTTTTCCAAACGCAAAATAATATAACTTGATAAAATTGAAATATTCAAAAAGTTCAGGGATTAATTTAGAATAAAGGTCACGGTTTGGGGATAAAAATGAAATGTTCAAAAGCTTGAAGACTAATTTGAAATATATTCATAGCTTAAGGATGAAATTGAAATATTTAAAAATTTAGGGATCAATTTGAAAAGAGAGTAATGATGCATACGATTGTTTTTAACGTCATTATCTCTCATATAATATAGCAATCAATATATGAACTTTTTTTTTTCTTTTTTAAATTTTAGAAAACATCGTTAATTGGACAATTTTTTTTATCATATTTCTAAAGTTTCTTTTAAACTGAACAATTTTAAAATTACGATAAATAAAAATTTGTCCACACTGAACTTTTGACATATACACCAGCTTTTAATAATAATATTTTAGATGCACGAATCAACTTGTCTCAGTGGTTAAATGAATCGTTGTTTCTAGAGATCATGAGTTTGAGCATCAACGGCTTCTGCAAGTTAATTCAACGTTTATTGTGAAATTGTTGAGAGTGTTTAGAATAGATAATACTTTGTAATAACCTTAGATTAATAAAATAATAATAATAATAATAATAATAATAATAATAATATTTTAGCTAAATTATGTGTTTAATACTTAAATTATCAATTTTAATCCGTTTTAATATCTAAATTTTTAGATTTCGTTTCACTTTAGTACATCGCGTTAGAATCTTAAACGACAGTGTATTTTTAATGGGTAAATTATATTATTCATCACTCAATTATCTTCTCACTCCTATTGTTACTAAAGTTTAAAAACTTTCAATTTAACTCCTGAACTCTCAAATTGCTCCTATTTTAAACACTCTAATTTATTTTATTAATAATTTTTGTGAGATGGCATTATTTATTATTATTTTATTAATATATAATTAAAAAATTGAAAGTTAGAGTGATTAAATTATGAGTATCTTGAAAGTTAAGAAATCAAATTAAAAGGATTTAAACTTTAGTGACCAAAATAGAATTGAGAAGATAGTTTAGTGATGAATGATATAATTTATCCATAAAAATAACAAAACAAAAACTAAATGTTAAATATAATTTTTTCAAAATTAAAAGTTTAGGTACTAAACACATAATTTACCCTAATATATTTTGAAACCATTACGAAGTCATAAAAATATTTTGATAATTCAGCAATAATATTTTTCTTCAAGAAAGACTATCCTAATTTCTAGATTTGGAGCATCAGTCGAATAAGGAAGGACTCGATTGATATTCATAAAAATAAATGGGACCAAATCCATATCTTTATAAAAATAAAGACCCCAATTTTTAGCCTAATTTACCCTAATTTCTAGCCTCCTTTCTTATCTCCTAAGACCTCAATCCAAAGACCCCGCCAATTTTTCAGTTGATTTGATTATTTTGGAGCCTTTGATTCAATGGCTCTTTACTTGTTGTACGAGTCATCTTCTGGGTATGGTCTATTCCAGGTCCAGGGGCTCGATGAAATCGGTCAAAACACAGAGGCTGTTAGGAACTCGGTCGCCGATCTGAACCGGTTCGGTAAGGTGGTTCAACTCACTGCTTTTCAACCTTTTGAGTCCGCCATTGACGGCCTCAACCAATGCAACTCTGTTTCCGAAGGTATTAACGAAGTCTTTCTTTTCTTTCAAGCTTCTGGGTTTTGTTTAAGTTTTTATGTTTTGTTGTTGTCTTGGTTTGGGGTTTGCTTGAAATAAAAGATTCTGCCATTTTTGTAAGGTTGTTTAGTTGATTTAGGTTTAGTCTTTTCAAAATACTAGCTAAAGGAAGATACGATGTGTAAACACACATTTTCGTCCTATTAAGATTTAAATTTTTAAAAATATGATAAAATTTTATTAAGATTCAAACTCCTAAAAATATGATAGAGTTCTACTATTATTTAAACTCCTAAAGATAGGATCTACAAACATTATAAATAGTCATTGTAATTCATTATTGTAACACATTCAGAGGAAGATATAAGAAATATCAAGCAAAAAATTACAAGCAACTCGTAGCCATTATTCGAAGCATTTATATTTTGAAAGGTAAAGTTCATACATTCGCATGTTATTTTTCCTTACCTTTGCTGTGTTTTGATTTCGAAAGAAAACTGAGAGAAGTGTTTTTGGCCGATTAACGGGGGCGTTTTCGAGATCTATTTTTGTAGATCTAGTCCCCGAGGCTTGTGTTTTTGAAAAACTATTCGGATTTTTATAAACGGGTCGTGTGTATCCGCGTGTTTTGTCGTTTTTTCTTCGATTGACTTTTAATTTTGACCCCTAATTCATTTTTTATTTTAATTTAACCCTTATTATTTATATGTATATATTTAATTTAATTTAATTTATTTATTTATTATATTTTTTTTCATTTTTCTTTACGTTATATTATATTATTTTTCTATTATATATATATATTATATTATTATTTTTTATCTATATTTACTATGTTTTTTACTATATTTTCCTAACGTTATATATTGTTGAGTTAATCGAATGACGAAATTGGCCAAGAGGGGGGTGAATTGGCAATAAAAATTTTGTGGAAGCTTTTGCAGAAAATTGAAAGTAATTGCACAGCGATTTACAGTGGTTCGACTTTCTCAAACAAAGTCTACGTCCACTACCTTAGCTATCCACACTAAGGATTTTCCAACAAATTCACTAATTTGTTCTTTCTTTTGAGGCCAAAGAGATAACCTTACAATTCCCTCAAGAGTATACCCCAACTCTTGAGAACACTCTTTTCTCAAAGAGAAGATTACAAATTTGCAAACTTACAAGAAAACCTCACAAGGTAAGATGTTTGCACAATTCTAGAACAAGAAAAGAACACTCAAAGAAAATTACAAATGAGCACAATAAGTGTTCTTTAAAAGCAAAATGAATATTGAATGAAAATTGGCTTGAATTGCACAAACTTTGTGTTTGATGCTTTCTCTCTTGTTTCTCTATAATTTTCTTTCTGATCAAGGGCTTCAGAACTTGTTTAAATACACCTTGGATCACTTCTTAACGTTGGGGATGATTAGAGAAGATATTATAGCCGTTTTAGTGTGAAAACATTTAATAAAACAGCTTGGAGCGTGGGGGGAATCGGTTCCCTCTCATAGGGAATCGGTTCCCTAAGTGTAAAATTCAAATATTTCGACCGTTGAACAGGGGGGAATCGGTACCCCCTACGGGGGAATCGGTTCCCTCCGAGCATTCTGGAAATCTCGGAGCCAAACCATTCAGGGGGGAATCAGTTCCTCCTATGGGGGGGAATCGGTTCCCTCTGAGCAATCTGGAATTTTTGGCTTTGAATTGGTTCGAAATACTTTGTAAAATTATTTTGAAATTGTTTTATGATTAAAACTTAATTTTACACTTAAGTAAGGATCAAAAATGATTTTTGAAATATTTGGAGTAATGTTTTGATATTCGAATAGTTATATCGAATATACTTAGAAAATCATTTGGAAAATCTTAAAATCCATTTAACTTAATTTGTTATATCGAAATATTAAAATGTTTCAACAATCTCCCCCTTTTTGATATAACAAAACATTTTAGTAATTTTAAGATTTTTGAAATCAAGTTTTGAAATTACTCCCCCTTACTTTAACACTACTTCTTATTCTTCTTATGTAAAACATTTACTCCCCCTTACTTTAACACTACTTCAATTTATTATGTAAAACATTTAACACTTATTCTTCTTATTCTTCTCCCCCTTTTTGTTAAATCAAAAAGACATTGTAAAACAAGGTTTTGAAAATCATTTAGCCAATTGATTTATTAATTATAAGCTTAAGCTGCTAAGATCACAATCAAAAGAGAGGTTAGCCATTAGTTTCATAAATCAATATTTATAAATAATGTGATATGGCAAAATTGGTCATATTGCTAATGATAATGTAAATGATGCAAAAATGAATAAAACACACCAAACATAAAAGTTCACACCATTCATAAATCCAAAATCCAACAATCCACAAAATCAAACAATTCAAAATGTTGAAACAATATTCATTTTGTTCAAAGTTTTAAAGATAAACATAAAATTAAGCATCCGGATCGGTAGGAGGAAAACGGGCTCGCATAGCGGCCATCTCGTGTGTGAGTTCATTGATACAAGCGTTGGTTGATTCATTGTTTGCACGCATCTCCCGAAGAATCTCTAATTGTTGAGCTTCCATTGTGGATAAATGAGACTCTATAGAGGAAAAGCGCGAGTCCATGGTAGCGTATCGGAAATCGAATGTCTCCATAAAGGATTGAAAATATGGAGGCATTTGATGCGTTTGTTGTGCTTGCTCCTCGGGCTGCTCTTCGGGTTGTTCAGGTTCTTCTTCAGCTTCATCAATATCCCTCATTAATTGTTCAAACTCGGGATCTTCGTCAGCCTCGGGTGGAGCTTGTGAAGAACTAGCTCCCGGAGTAGAAGAACGAACCCATTCACCGGTTTCTTTGTCCTTTACACATCCCGCTCTCGTTAAGGAAAGAAGAATTATTTGTTTCTTAAGAGGAAAAACGGCATCTAGACCGACTCTAAGCCCAGCTTTGGAAAACAGATTACTCAAAAAGCAACCGTAAACTAGAGATGAACAGTGTTTCTTGTTAGGAACAAGATTTACGGTTTCAACAATTTCAGCAAAAATAATCTGAGGTAGGTTAATTTTAATACGGTTTTCGAAACAATGTAACCACCAAAGATCCAAAGCTCTAAGAGTAGAATAACGACCTCCGGATGGTCGAAACCACCAAGAAATCATTAGATGAAGAAAACGCTCATGTAGGTCTAAGACACTCGCACTATCTCTTCTT